CTGGCTGGGTGTTCAATTCTCCACTGTGCTTTCTTAGCAGGGGCTGGACTCCTTTCTAGCTCTGCAGTTCTAAGATTATTATTCGAAATTGACTGCTTCACAACTTCAGAACTACCACAGAGAAGCCCCTTTCCACAAAAGCCATTAACCTGACCACCAAAAGCGAGAGGACCAGAGAAGGGCTTCCGAAAGGAAAATAAAAATAAAGAAGAAGAAGAATTAAAATTAATTGAGCAGCAGATTTTTATAGAGACATTTATGGAGCATAGGACTGGCTAATAAGCTATTCATGCTAACTCCATCCATAATCAGAGGTTGTCTTTTGCTGAATACCAGTTGCTTGGGGTATGGGAATGAAAGGCGGTTCCGTGTCCTGTTTGGGATATCTCAGAGACATCAGGCTGGCTACTGTGCGAAACAGGATGTTGATAAGACTTTGGTCTGATCCCAAATAGGAGTTCATTTGCTCCTTCTCCATAGCAGACACATTTGAAGAGTGGGTTTGGCCATAAAATGAGGGATAGCATGGCTAGAATACAGATGGCACTACAAGCGCTTTTTGTAACCACAGCAGTTTAAATAAGCACATTAGCGGGCATGAGATGCACCTAATTTTTATTAGGACCACTTCCCAAGGCAAGGTTTTATATTTTTCTCTTCTCCTTATGAAAACCCTTATCCTCACTCTGCACCCTTGCTATGAAGAGATAATAACATGCACAAGGATGGAGAATTTTTTATTGGAATTATGGACTTCTCTTCAGACTTCTCTTCTGTTTGGTGGTACGTACAGTACTGTTAATATTTCTTTTAAAACATTCTATGTTTAGTACTTAGTGAATTAGGCATCTGGCTGCAGACCCAGAGGTCAAGAGTTCAGTTTCCCTCTTTGCATCCTGGGAGAAGTAAAGCAAAGCATGCCGCTTAGATACTTCCCCATAGTGCTTAAAGCACTCTCTGGGTAGTTTACAATTTAATTATGCAAGCTACACATCCCCCCCCCAAACCAGCTGAATTTACTGATCTTGGAAGGCTGGAAGGCTGAGTGAACCTCGAACTGGCTACCTAGGAAATACTCAGTTTCTGCAGCCTTGGCCAAGTTGCACAGTCCCAGGGTGGCCCCGGAAGAAGGGAAAGGTATTTCTGAGTATTCTGAAGACCTTGGAAAGGGTAAACATAAGTCAGAACTGACTTGAGAGCACATAATTATTATTAGAAATTATCTTTTTTTAGTACCACCATATCTATTTTGGCCCTTAGACCTTGGCTGAAAGGACATGAGGTAGGATAGCCCTATGGTCTACTTCACAGAGGGTGCACCTGTATGAAAATATCTTCAACAGCCTGAACTGGTTAAGTCTTGGTTAAACTTTAAAGAATCTTAAGGAACAAAAGAAGGAGACTAGAAGCTGCTGTCAACAGTCCACAACAACCTAAACTGGCATATAGATTACTTGGTTTCTCCAATATAGTGAGAGGCATTGTGTTCTGATTTAAAAAGGGAAAAACCAAAATGAAGTAGATATTATTAGATTGCAACTCATCTCACTCCTAGCTGGCCCAGACAGTGAGGAGAAATGCTGAGAACTGTAGTCCCAAAATATCTGAAGGTCCACAATTCACCCATCCCAACTGAAATCATAGTTATTACTTATAAAGTACTGTACTGTACTGTAGTGAGTCCTGGACCCTTTGTGCACAGCAGGAGAGGAAGCTGAACACATTCCATATGTGTTGTCTCCGACGCATTTTTGGTATCACCTGGCAGGACAAAGTTCCAAATACAGTAGTCCTAGAATGAGCTGGAATTTTTAGCATGTACACATTACTGAAACAGTGTCATCTATGTTGGCTTGGGCATGTCGTTAGAATGGTTGATGGTTGGATTCCAAAAGATCTCCTGTATGGAGAATTAGTGCAGGGACATCACCCCAGAGGGAGACCACAGCTGCGATACAAAGATATCTGCAAGCAGGATCTGAAGGCTTTGGAATGGACCTCAACAGATGGGAAACTTTGATGTCTGAGCATTCAGCCTGGAGGCAGGCGGTGCATGAAGCCCTCTCCCAATTTGAAGAGACACTTGTACAGCAGGCTGAGGCCAAGAGGCAGTCCCAAAACCAGCAAAATCAGGGAGCTGGACGGGGTACAGATTGTAGTTGCCTTCAGTGTGGAAGGGATTGTCATTCTCGAATTGGCCTTCTCAGCCACACTAGATGCTGTTCCAAGACCTCCATACAGAGCACGTTCCCATAGTCTCTCGAGACTGAAGGATGCCTACTATTACTTCTAAAGTTACATCTGCATATAGAAATTAGAATGCACACATTTTATGCTGAGCTGTGTCCTAATTTGTCTTCTTTTTTTGGCTACTTTGGTGTAACTTGAAAATGAGGAGAAAGTTTCCAGGAATACATGGTGGACTGATGAATCTGGGCGAGGGGAGAACCACTGGGCTAGGGGAACGGTACCATTTAGTAGAAGGATTGCTTGTGCTGAAAAGAGCGATATGGTTGGCTGGTTATGTCTGCCTGTAAGCTTTGGCTTTGGGCAGAAATGGACGACCGTGTGTGGCTGGAAGAGAGACTTGAATGTACTCATTCTCGTGACTGATGACGCCGTCAGACCTTGGAAGGCCAGCCACTGTAACAAACTGACCCCTCCCCTCTCCCCTCCCCTCTAACCATTTCCCCAGGCCCTGCCAGCTGCCACGGGCACAGATTGTGGTGTCTAAGCCTGAAGCAAATTGTCAGATTGCCTGTAATCTGTTTGTAGGTTCGCGGGACGGGGAGGGAGGAGACAGGAGCATGATAAACACTTCCAGCCGATCCACGTCGCTTGTTATGATGCCTCTGGCAGTACGATTGCTCCAGATGGGTTGTCACCTGTTGTAATCCCTCAGATGTTTAGTATCATCCAGGAAAACTGTGTAGGAATTTGTAGAGGTACAGTATTGGGAGGATGTAGGAAATGCTGTGGGAAAAGAATCAACATTCACCTGATCAGCTGGGGTCCTGATACACCTCCTTAGAAGCCCAAGGAAAGGAGGTGATTGACTCATTGGCAGCCCATAAACAAAGTGAAAGGCAGCTCTCTCAAAATTTTGGGGAGGGCATCTTTCCTGCTGAATCCACATATTATTACTGGGCTTCATACGTATGGGAAATATCAAAATAAACAAGGGAGTCTTGTGGGACCATGTATACTACCAAGGTAGAGACGGTTGGTTGCTTTTGTTTTTATATTCCTTTTTGGTGTAAGATTTTGTGACCTGTAGCCCATTTTTTCCGAGGCAAGGATGAAATAGGCTACAATCTGTGAACGTTTATGCCCAATACAAACTTGTTCATCTTTAAATCCTCTTTATTTTTGCTGCTTCAGACTAACATAGCTGCTTGCCCGCCCTCATCCCAAAAGTTTTTGCAAGTTACCCTTATGCTCTAAAGATTCCCCTTGGATTATTTAAAATTTAACATTTTCTTTTAAAGATAAAGACAGAATATCATTCTTCAGTGTTTGGGTGATGGCATTCTACTGCAAACGCCACACCTCTCAAAGACAGGCCTGCTTATATTCTGTTCCAATAATATAGAAACTTCCAAAAACCTTTAATGCTGCTACATCTCCAGATTCTGAGCTCTAATTAATGTATGAATAAGTAAAAGGCATTCAGCGTGCTTGTCTCACATAAAGGCCTGTTCCTATGCATGTTTAATCAGAAGTAAGCTGCATTGTGTTTAATGGGACTTATTCTCTGGTAAATGCATGTGAGATGCAGCCCTGTCTGTCATGCTTTGTTTTATCATCATCACTGTCATCGTCATCATTGTCTGCCACTGAGTATGTAAGAATCTGGAAGAATTACTGGCTGTGATGACTGGTGGATTCTGAGCACTGTGATCCAAAAAAGGAGCAATATATAAGAGGACAAGTCCCTGCTCAAGGGATGCTTAGGAGTAAAACTTTGCTGTGAGGTTGGGGAGAAGAAGAGAGAAATAAAGGCATGATTATTAGAGAGAGATTGGGACTAGTAACAATGTTAATGGAACTGGCAGTAGTAGCAATAGCAGCAGTATTAATAGTGTTTAATTTATATCCTACTTCATCAAATTGCCGCAAGTGGCTTTTGAATTCTTTGGGGGTGAGGGAAACAACTTTCGCATAAAAACACAATACACTAGGATTCAAATCCCTTTCCCAAATCATCACACATCTCTAGCAGGCTGCAGGCTCATAAAAATTCACCAAATGTCTTCCTGAAGTGGAAGGTCTTTCATGTTTTTTGAAAGGCTAGAGACTCTCGTTCAGGCAGACCTCTCTTTATACATTTTTGATATCCATAGCTCCCCTTTCATTTTGAAAAAAAAACAACCCAGCAACTAACAAAAAAAAGTAAGTGTAAAAATACAACCAGCTTTAGGCAAACAATAAAATCTGTACAGCAATATTATAAGCACTGAATGGCATGTTTCCCTCTGTTTGTATAGACAGTTAGAAATACTGAATATACACATTATCCTCATAATATTTTTCCCTAAGAAAAGAGAGGAAAATCAGCCTAAGAGATTTGTGGAAGAATGGAAGTACATTTCACAGGATTTAATGCTACACATGCTTATTTCCAGGGAAAGCCACAAGGAAGGGATCGCTATTGTAACAACATGGACAATGCCTGCATAACAATGGCAGGTCAATATACAGTATGACTATTACTACTATTTGGAAGGCATAACTCTCATTGCATTTTATACATCCTGCACACCAGAGAGTTCAACGTCCATTGTTTAAGGGGAAACCCTCCCCCCCACTAGACCCTTCTTCATACATCTAAACTCAAGTTCATGTTCATAAGGACTAGAAACTTGAGAAAGGGAGTGTTGCCATTCGCATTTAATGAGGACTGTATATATATATAGTTTTCTCAATAATAACTATCAAAGATATAAAGATGAGCTGTTCCCATTCTTAAACTTCTTTTTAAAATTCTGCTTATCCTCCAGGCGTTGCTGTTTCTGGCTAGCATCTCAGGCCTCTGCTTTGCCATCAGTCTAGTTCTCATCTGTGTCTACCTGATACGCTTCTGCTGTTGTAGCCATGAAGATGATGAGGAAACGAAGACACAACGAGTTTGCTGCATCACTTGGAGCTGCGTGGCAGCAGTTATCGTCTGCTGGTAAATGAAGATTCCTCTTCTACCCCCACCACCTTTCCCAAACACTCTGAGACAGGAATGGCACTCCCTCCTGGGGGAGGGTAAGAGAAGTGTATAATACCAGGCCAAGACTACAACATTTTGGACTAAAACCGCCCAGAATGCTCTAGTTGTGACTATATTGCCTGGGGCATTCTCAGAGTTAAATTTAAAAAAAAATGTTTTCCAAGCTCTGAAGCAATGGGATTTGAGCTAAGGTCTCTGGAAGCAAAACCCAGGTGTTTTATTCTTTAGGGCAGCTTACAGAGTGAGTAAGGCTTGGCCTTAAGATTCAGGTTTAAACTCTCAGGGTCTAAGAGTTTGGATTTGAAATCTCATAGGATGGAGTGCTTCCAACCTGGCAGTCCTAGATTTTGGGGTTCACTATCATGACCTGAGTGGGACGTGGTGGCACTGTAGGCTAAACCACAGAAGCCTGTGCTGCAGGGTCAAGAAGACCAAGCAGTCGTAAGATCGAATCCACGCAACGGAGTGAGCGCCCATCGCTTCTCCCAGCTCCCGCCAACCTAGCGGTTCGAAAGCATGCAAATGCAAGTAGATAAATAGGGTCCACCTTGGTGGGAAGGTAACAGCGTTCCGTGTCTAAGTCGCACTGGCCATGTGACCACGAAAGATTGTCTTCGGACAAAACGCTGGCTCTGGGGCTTGGAAACGGGGATGAGCACCGCCCCCTAAAGCCGAACACGACTGGACAAAAATTGTCAAGGGGAACCTTTACCTTTTTTTATCATGACCTGAAGACTGCTATTTATATATGCTCATCAGCAACTGTGTGTTTTTCTTTCTTTTGCATGCTCACATGTTAGCCTTTAAAGGCATCATTGCCTAGTATCTTCTTGGCACTCTCCCACAGCAACAGGAATAAGGTCACTGGAAACAGATTGCTGCTAATTAAAGGATTTTTTTTTAATTTAGGGGTCCACCTAGCTTTTATGTAGAGATACAAAGTCACATTCACCCTGAAATTTAAAAAAATAAACCAAATTCTTTAATTAGCAGTAATCTGCTGCTGGTGACATCACTCCAGTTGCATTGGCAGAGCTCTGCAAGAGGATACCGGCCATGGAAACTCTACATTGACTCTCTCTTTTACACACGCACCATTTTGCAATGGTTGTTGATGGATCAGACCCGGTGACATCACAAGGACCCGCCCAATCTCTGGGAACCGTAAGACAGAGGGAACTGCCAATTTGGTTTTTGCAGCTTTACAATAGTCTGAAGATGGGCATCAGTGATAAATACAACTCTTTGGTCAGCAGAGTCAAATGATCTGAATGGAACAATTGAAGTCCCAGGTGGTGATGTTTATAACTGCTCTTCTGAATTGCTTTCTTGCTCAGTCTTGATGGAAATTCAGCTTATTGTCCTGTTTGTAAATGGGGTTGGCAGTTCAGCAGCATTCCATTCCTTGATATTCAGGGCCAAATCTTGAAAACAGAGGACCAAGATCTTGTGAAGGCACAGGGCTCAGTTCCTGTGCTGTGAAAGAGATGACGAAGCAAGGGTTAAGAGTGTCAAAAGTGCTTCTGTGCAACTGGCTGTAGAAATGGGCTCAAGGGCCATGCAAGTAAATAGGACCAGAATCCAGACATAACAGGGCTAGCCAGGCAATATGGCAGCCAAAAGCTTGCGTGAAAGATTGGCAGCCAGGCAGGAGCAAAATAGACTAACAGCTGTCAACATTTTAACAAAGGTTCATGTCCTGCACAGGCTTACCTACCTAGAGATATTTTTCTAGGCTTGTAGAAGTTTCACCAGCTTCTCACTGCTTTTTTTCCCTTGCTGGTGCTGCCAGGCCTTGTACAACATGAAGGCCAATCAAGTACAGTATTAGCACTCCACTCCCTTTCTTTCCCCCAAATGGTACACTGGGCCCAAATGCATGCTCTCACTTCTACCCAGTTCCTTCCCTTTGCTCCCCACATCTTAATGTGCTAATGATGCAAAAGTGCAACACAGGTAAGAATTGGTGGAGATGAGTGCCCAGAATTTAAAAGCCATGCATACACAAGAATTACATTTTCTCTCTTCTCCAGTGTTGTTTGCCCTGGATTTTTTGTCATTGTATCTGGAAATCTGGAGAAGTCTCCAGACAAACAATAAGCAATTTCTTGAGATTTTAGCTGGTGCCTTGAGATCTGCCAACCATACATGCCTCCTGAACTCACATCTTTCCTCCTGATCAGCCATAATAGAGATGCCCTATCTCCCATTTATCAACTTCTTTCTAAAGCCAGTTAGCCACCAGTAATCAAGGATGCCCTTGTGTAGCCAAAAAAGAAAAAGAAAAAAAAAGAGGCTTCCTTCCAAAACCCTCTCTAATTATCTGAAAAAGAGCCCATATTTTGATCCTGGCTGCCTGCCCTGTGCTTAGACACTTGCTTGCTCCTCCAGGATGGTCCAAACCAATATCAATGATATGGTAATGTATGCCATAAAACTGTCACAAACCATGCTAAAACATCTCTCTGTGTCACTTATTTTCTCCCACCCACCCTGGAATTTTTGGTTAAAGAGAAGGGGATTTCCAACCCACTGACTGAATTTGCCCACAGATGTTTCCAGTCTGGAGGATGCTCCTCTCCATCCAGAAATCCCGCCTCATCAAATGGGGAAAATCTCTTTCATGCCACTAATCTTCCCAGTAGGATCCTTGGTGCCAAAATAGTTTCTTGCCTGTACCACTGCCTCAGATAGTAATTTCGCCTTAAAGCCTCCTCATGCAGCTTCTCCGTGTTAACCTGGGATCACAGCTGGTGACTTTGGAAACCCACTACCAGTTCCATTCTATATAGCCACTGTGAGTTTATGGTCACATGCATTCGCAAACTAGGAGAACCATGATTTACTATAAACAAGATTTGTGTTCCATCTGTTCATGCCCATAGCTCCTGCTAACTTGAGCTGCTGAGCTAGCCAGGAACTAAAAGCTTACCAGGTAGTTGGATCTGATTTCCCGGCTTGTATCTGATCTCACAAGCTAGGACTTCACAGTACATTTTACTCTTGGCTTATGAATCTTGGCTTGTTTGGGAACAACAAGCCAGTAGCCCTGCTTCAAGTGAGCTATAAACATTCAGTCCCTGATTAATTTAACAGCACATGCTGGCATGGTGAACCAAATGAGTGCAGAACAGCTGTGTGCTCCATTCATGATAAGCCAGGGTTCTCCAAAAACCTGACTTACTGTTGCATGTGAATACAGAGGTACCTGCCCCTCCAACATTCTTCCAGTCCAGACTTGAATTCACCATATATTGATGCTTTGCTTGCTTCTTTCAGGCCTATCTGATGGTTCATTCCTGTCTCTCACACTAGATGTTCATTCATCTTTCATCATCTCCACCCCCTTTTTCTCGACTCAGGCCACAATGGGCCTCTTGTTCCGCCAAGAGAATAGGAAATTGTGTCCTATTCTCCCTATCCCATCACTGCCTCACCAGGCCCCTTTGTCTGTTTGTTATTCCAGACTCTGTACTCCTTGCAAACCTCTCACCAACTCCACTTGTCTTTGCCACCACTACCCTCCACCTCCCCTCCCTACACGATACACACAGACACATTGCCCAACTGTCTTGTAATATGCAGGGTTTCAGATACACAAGCAACATTCTACTCTTTGAAAGGCAATAGTCTCATTCCCAGAATAAGAAAAAGCATATCCTCCAAACAAGTCACAGATGAAAGCAAGAATATTTGTGTATCAGTAACGATAAACAAATGCACAGGCATAATATTATTTGAGAAGTAGGGCAGATGTAGAAGCAGATGCACTGTATTCTGATCAAATGAAACAAGTAAAGGGTACCAGATAAATGTCTGAAGGAATAATCATATCAGCTACCTTAATAAAATACAGAAGGTAGGCTGGACAGCACATCTGAAGCCTGGCAGAAAGGCAGGGCTGGTGGCTGAACTAACGTTCTGCTCAATTGCACATATAGCTGTCATTTACACAGAATGAAGCAGGAAACTATGCTCCCAGGAATTTTTTTTTTTTTTGTGACTCTGCTCTTAGTATTATAACTGTACTGGCTGTTAATTTCAGGACCAGTCCAATATGTTTTACTGCCTGAAGCAAATACCAAGATGGCGCATCCCTCAAAATCTGAGCAAGTAGCTGAGTTTTGCTTTAACATCGGTGAATAGACAGCATGTTCTACCACAACAAAGGACAGCAGGCAGAGTAAGGGGCAGGCTGCCTGGCACACACATAGAGGAATCTGGGTGGGCTTACACAGAGAAATGGCATTTTGAGCCACTTGTGGATCAGACTTGTGCAATCTGTTTCCTGGTGATCATATGATGTATGGGCAATTATGCCCAAGTCTGATCACAATATGTGCCCAAGCTGGACCTTTTTTTGGTCCAACTGTAGCTCGTACTACTTTGGGAGGCCAGGCTGGAGTGATTCCCCAGCAGGTGGAAAGATCATATTAAGGAAAATCGCTCTCCTCAATGCAACCCTTTCCAGTGCAATTGGAAATGTGCCTTTCCAGATGTCTGATCATACTCTCTGTCTGCCAAGCATTTTGCCAGCAGTCTCCACCCTCAGCATTTACAGCCTTAGATTAGCTGCCCCACTCTGCCTAATGGCAGGGCCAACCCTGCTTACTGTCACATCAAGGTTCCCTATGTGAATGCCCGCTCCACATGATCACACATTGTTGAAGAACCTTCTTTGCATTCCGTAAACTGTATCCATTCAGTTACTCTGCAACAGCTTGTTCTGTCCTAGTTTCCAAAGCAACGGTGTGGTAGTAAACTGATCATAACGGCTTCCTTTTTGGAAAGCTTAAGGACGTCTTAACAGAATGTTTAAGCTCCAAATGGATCTGGTTGTACTTATTATAGATAAGCAACAGCAACTAAAACACGTTCAACAGCATTTGCTGACGAGATACTAGCAGATGGAAGAAAAGTAGTGTGTTGTCATTTTGTATCCATGCTTGTGTGTT